TCAATGACATGTATAAATCACATCATTTAAAATATTAAAAATGAATAATATATTATTTAATAATTATTTTTTTACTTTTTTGACTTATAATATTATTTAATGATGCAATTTATGCTATATTATTAATCCTAAATTTTCATCTTTTGTATCACTACATTTTTGAAAAAGAAGGCTTAAAACAGTAGTTTGGAATAATATAACCATTAATATACATAGGATCCATTAAATTAAAAAAGTATTTTTTTAAAATTTATATAATATCTTTTAAAAGTTTAATATTCTGCTTTTGTTAAGTCCTTTTTTTAGTCATATTTTCATAACAATTAGAAAAATAACTGGGAGGATCAAATTTTTAAAGATTAATTCTTAAGTGATCTCCAATGAAAAAACTAAAAAATGACTAAAGTAACGATATGAAACAAACTAATTAAGGATAAAATTGATAAAAATAAAACTTAAAGAACCAAATTAAAAATCTCACAATAGCTACGGGGGCGTTTGCCATAACATAGCGGAGGTAAGACTAGTGGTAGAAGATATTGATTTGGAATGATTATCAAGTTATTAGAACATTCTAACCGTTAATAAATCAGAGGTGTTTTTTACATCTTGACTTGCAATAAAAAAAAGTACATAAATACCTAGAAAATTATTTCATCGATATTCATGTACTTTTTTGTTTTTTTTGCATTGACTTGAAAATTTGTTGTCTCTTTCTAAATTAATAATAATATTAGATCATCACTTTTGAAACAAACTTAATCCCCATCCCAAAAATTCGTTAAAAAAATAACAATATAAATATTGTTAATGTCTTATGCAAATTCAAAGAATGAGACAACAGTTAATGATAAAGAAAAAAAAAAAAACAAAAAACAAAAGTGAACCTTGCTTTTATGGATTGTGCTTTCACCAAATCACGAAAAGAAATGTTGGGCTAGGCGAAAGGCTTCTTCACAGACTGCACGCTTCAGTATACTCTTATCTTCTTCTAAGATTTTCATTACATGTAAAATAATAGAAATCAAATGTAACAATTGGTTAAAAAGTAGAAGATTGATCTAATCCATTGAAGGAGAGGGAGAGTATTAATATAGAAAACTGAAAGTAATATATATATATATATATATATATTAATGTTTTATCACTTGAATT